TGTTTGATAGAAAATTACGCGTTCTTTAAATTTTATACTCAAAGAAAGGGTGTTAAACCTTAAATCGCGCTAAGCGTCGCTAAGCGTCGCTAGCAAGCCTGTCAAAAGACCGTCTAGAATTCTTCGAAGGCCCACTACAAAACCAGGTGTCTCAGTCCTTTGGTATGGGATAGTGCACAAGTTGAAGTTGACTATTTCCAGTCGTCATGGTTTTCCGTGTCGAAGTTTACTCTCTTGCAGGTAATGTAGTGTCGGCATGTCTTTCGGCTCCCATTCGGTGGTCAGGATCACTCATTTTCCAGGGATATATTTTTTTCAATAATTTTGACAAGATAAGTGCCGAAGGAGTTAACTGTACTGATTGCATGTCATATCCCAGCCATTCTCTTCACACCTTGCGCCCACGTGTCATCTACCAATCAGGTTAATCCGCTCATAGTTTTAAAGCCACGCGATCGATTTTTTGGCTTTGCGGGAGGTCGGTGAAGTTCGGCTCCCGAGTGCCTGGAAAGCCTTTTTTTCTTTAAAAACGCCTTTGGTGCGGGAAAACCGATTAGTTTTAAACTGCTGCCGCGGAAGAAAAGAGAAAATTCCTCACAATGAACTCAAACCCATCAGGATGGACGCAAGCTAATAATCTCAGCATAAAAATTGAGGATATACCGGGAGTGCAAAACTATACGGCTAGCTTAACGATTGAGGACAGACAACCACCGGACCAGTCGAAAAATCCTGAAGATCAGATTGAGCACCAACAGGATGTTAAATTTACCATGGAAGTTGACGGCGTAAACCAAGACGACCCACCCCCGATAGTTGTAGATATTCAGGGTACAATGGAAGTGCCCAATGGGGAAGTTGTGGACACTGAAGACGTTATGGATATGGCAATCAGTCGTCCTGGCGGTGGAGTCGATCTCTTTGATGTTCAAGTCGACGCTAATAGTCAATATCCGGGGCAGGTAGAGCAACCTGACGAGGCAGAATTAGTTAGGTCGCTCAGTTACGTGCTTACTACAAATGCTATCGAGGAAGCCAAGCGCGTGGTTGCTGGCGCAACAGATGGTGGTGGAAGAGGTACCCAATTAATAGCAGAGCAAGTCATTGGAACTGCTGAAAGCAGCCTTCTTGAAAGCGTTGCCAGCCGACCCCCGCGCACACAAAGTCATGACGAGCTCTCCCGTGGCCATAGCCAGATGTTACTGAGGGTGTTTACACCTTCAAGTCACGAGGTGGCCCCAGGTGGACCGAGGTTAAGCCCTGACGGTCGGCAAATAATCCGCGCGTCTTCTGAAGCTCTCACAGTGCCCACAGAGACGTCCATCTACGCAAAGATCTTTTTCCGCCCGAGTTCAGAAGTGGCCTCAGGTTATACTACGCCTCACTGCACCACCGTTACGACACGCTCCATGGAAAGCACTGGTTCAAAGACGATGAGCTCCAG